TAAGATCTACAAAAAAGTCCATGCGCGCGTATCTGTCAAATGTACGGTTAAAGGGTTATTCCGCATTTTTTGCCGATTCGCACACATTGGAATTTCGCTAACTCCTCTGAAGGCTTTCGTTCCACCGGCACCACATTTGCTCAGGCCAATCTACACCCCATGGCCATTAAAAGTTATTCAAATCATGACGCTGCACCCCACGGTTTACGTTCTAGGGGGCGCCAAAGATAACCCAAAAATCCACATTTTTAAAAGTCTTATAACTTTTTATTTTTGTCCTCACTGGCCTCCAAGTTTTCTAGGATGATGCAATGTCCAGCCATCAACACATTTGTGAAGGAATTTTTACTCCCTAAAAGAGCGCCCCCCCATGGCAGGAGAAAAAAGTCCATTTTTTCTTGTCCCCTAAGGTGAAAATACACATTGTTGACTGTCACGCCTGTACGCTTTGGCAAAATGACACAAAAATTGACAATCATGTGTATCTCAATTAGATCTACGAAAAAGTCAAAGAGCGCGTATCTGTATAATGTACGGTAAAAGGGCTATTTTGCATTTTTTGCCGATTCGCACACATTGGAATTTCGCTAACTCCTCCTAAGGCTTTCGTCCCACTGACACCAAATTTGCTCAGGCCAATCTACACTCCATGGCCATTCAAAGTTGTAAAAATCATGACGCTGCACCCCACGGTTTACGTTTTAGGGGGCGCCAAAGATGACCCAAATATACATTACAGTAGACAAAGTAGTTTTGCCCACTGAGTGGCGCCAAAGGGACTTGTCTGTGGAGTCTGTGAGTCACTATTGGCCGTTTTTGACTACTTTAGATTTTACCTTTATATTTCCTCTTACAAAATTTTTACCTTGCCTTGCCTGGTATCATTTTTTTCAGCACAACCTCACCTGTGTCAATTTACAGTTATTTTATCATTTTGACATACTATATTTACACATTGGACCCAAATTCACACACAAAACATAAAATCCGAGTGGAAAAAAGTAACGTTTTTACTGTGAAAACCACAAATATGTGTGATGAACTGTTTTTAAAACTTAAACTTCAAATAAAAATTGTAAACTTCAAAACATATGCAAATTTTTAACAAAGAACATAGTAATTTACCTCTATTTACATCAAAATGCAGGCAATGGCCCAGGTGTTCTTTGTAAAATTATTTACAAAACACTGTATAGTCTCACAAATGTCACTTTTTATTTATGCCACTACAAAAAAACATGATGTAAATGATGCATGATGTAAAACATGATGTAAAAAACTTGTGTAGATCCTCCTCTATGTTAGTCCATGTGTAATTTTTCCATAATTCTTTGTTTTTTGCAGCATTTTTGTTAGTGTAACTGCAGATTGTGCTGACAGTGTCTATGGCAAAAAAAAAAAAAAAACTGAAAATGCCTCAACATGAACCCCTGGTGGTCTCTGAGGGTGAAACCTGCTAACTGCTGCAGCTCTGTCAGCTTCAGTCTCCCATGCAGAGCTCGGAGCGCATGTGTGGCTCTGCACCCTTAGCAGCGTTGCTAACTCCTCAGTAAGGAAAGCCTGCTTCATGTCAGAGTCTCTAAACTCCAGAAGAAGTCGATAAAAGTCACTTTCTTTCTAAAAAAAAAGTCGTTAGGGGGTCTGAAAAGTCATTGAATCTAACAACAAAGTCGCTAGGTTTGCAACTACGTGTCCCAGACTGCATCCCTGCTGAGAGTCCCTCCCTCCCTTCTCATATTGCAGGAAGAACGTAAGCGCCCGCCCCTTGTCAATCAGTCACCATATAATTTTGGATTGGTTGTTGTGGTGAAGTTTTCCACCAATAGGAGAGATGTTGTGGTGTGTTTTTTTTTTCCTTTGGCAAGCCTTTTCCGCCTGTAAGACCTGTCGCTAATGTCTGCATGCTATGTTTTCCTGTCTCATACAGCGCGATCGAGCGCCGAACGTGATCAAAATAAGCAGAAAACAAGTATCGCGGACATAATTTATCATAACTCTGGTTTTATTTGGCCTATCAACACAATTTAAAAACTGGTATATAGGTTGAGGTCCTCACTTTTGAGATAAGTTGAAACGGAGTCAACGAGGCTCCGTCTTGCAGCTACATCCGGTTAAATATGTCATGTGACTTGAACGCACACACACACACACACACACACACACAGACACATACACACACACACGCACACACACACACACTCAGAGTCTGGTTTTTAGCACCTGCAAAAACATGCTATTTACATATTTGACAAGAATGCAGAGGCTCCTTTTGCCCCTGAAAAAAATCAAATTTCAAACACAACTTGACTGGTCATTTCTCCAAAAGACAACCATGAAGCTCCATCCAAACCTGAAGCAGGCAGTTGGTGCATGTGTACAGTAACCTGAGGGGAGTGAGGTGACTGCTTCTGAGGAGAACATGAGCAGTGAAGATTCACCTTAGAGCTAGAACAGAGACGTGCACATGATTATACAGGGGCAGGGGCTCAAGTTTTTTCCAGTTGTTTATACAATATGGAAATTAATGTGAAATTAAAAAACAAAGTATTAATAGAAAGGTAATGACTGTCCTGAGTAGGTGACAGTGATATCCAATAGGCTAGGCACTCAAGAGGCTGGCTGTGGCAAGTGTAAGTGAAAGCAACACGCACTGGCAGGAAGAACAGCAAACGCCGATGAAGGAAAAGGGTCTTTGCAGTGATGGGCGTTACCAGAGAGGGCGATGGCCAGAGGACACAAATGGGACGGGGAGGCAGCGCGTTGGGGGGGGGACGCGACACAGCTCGGGCCCGCCAGTGCCCCAACGGGGTCCTAGTCTTATTATTTTTCTGCCCCTTTGAACTGGAAAATGGCCCACTTCCCACTGGTGAAAACTCATGAAATTTGGCAGGACGACCGGGCCTGGTGAAAAATTCGATATTCTGAAGTCATCCAAACAATCAAATGCAAAATGGCTCCATAGCGCCCCCTAAGGTGAAAAATTCACATGATTGAGTGTCACGCCTGTACGCTTTGTCAAAATGACACAAAATTTGACACACACGTGTATCTCAATAAGATCTACAAAAAAGTCAGTGCGGGCGTATCTGTCAAATGTACGGTTAAAGGGCTATTTCGCATTTTTTGCCGATCCACACACATTGGAATTTCGCTAACTCCTCCGAAGGCTTTCGTTCCAAAGGCACCACATTTGCTCAGGCCAATCTACACCCCATGGCCATTAAAAGTTGTACAAATCATGACGCTGCACCCCACGGTTTACGTTCTAGGGGGCGCCAAAGATAACCCAAAAATCCACAGTCTTAAAAGTCTTATAACTTTTTATTTTTGTCCTCACTGGCCTCCAAGTTCTCTAGGATGATGCAATGTCCAGCCATCAACACATTTGTGAAGGAATTTTTACTCGCCAAAGAGCGCCCCCCCATGGCAGGAGAAAAAAGTCCATTTTTTCTTGTCTCCTAAGGCGAAAATTCACACTATTGAGTGTCACGCCTATACGCTTTGTCATATTGACACAAAAATTGACACACACATGTATCTCAATAAGATCTACAAAAAAGTCAGTGCGGGCGTATCTGTCAAATGTACGGTTAAAGGGCTATTTCGCATTTTTTGCCGATCCGCACACATTGGAATTTCGCTAACTCCTCCGAAGGCTTTCGTTCCAAAGGCACCACATTTGCTCAGGCCAATCTACACCCCATGGCCATTAAAAGTTGTACAAATCATGACGCTGCACCCCACGGTTTACGTTCTAGGGGGCGCCAAAGATAACCCAAAAATCCACAGTCTTAAAAGTCTTATAACTTTTTATTTTTGTCCTCACTGGCCTCCAAGTTCTCTAGGATGATGCAATGTCCAGCCATCAACACATTTGTGAAGGAATTTTTACTCGCCAAAAGAGCGCCCCCCCATGGCAGGAGAAAAAAGTCCATTTTTTCTTGTCTCCTAAGGCGAAAATACACATTGTTGACTGTCACGCCTTTACGCTTTGTCAAAATGACACAAAATTTGACAAACACATGTATCTCAATAAGATCTACGAAAAAGTCAATGTGAGCGTATCTGTTCAATGTACGGTTAAAGGGCTATTTCGCATTTTTGGCCGATTCGCACACATTGGAATGTGGCTAACTCCTCCTAAATCTTTTGTCCCATCGGCTTCAAATTTGCTCAGGTGAATCTACACCCCATGGCCATTCAAAGTTGTACAAATCATGACACTGCACCCCACAGTTTACGTTCTAGGGGGCGCCAAAGAGGACTCAAATATCCACATTTTTAAAAGTCTTATAACTTTTTATTTTTGTCCTCACTGGCCTCCAAGTTTTCTAGGATGATGCAATGTCCAGCCATCAACACATTTGTGAAGGAATTTTTTCTCCCCAAAAGAGCGCCCCCCCATGGCAGGAGAAAAAGTCAAGTTTTCCTGCCCATCGCTCAATGGCTCAAACGCATCGCTCTCTCGGCAAAACCGAAAGGAGGAGCAACTTGCCATTTGGATATATACTAGCTGTGTTTGTGCCCTCACTCATGGTCCAGACTTTTTTCAAAAAGGACATGGAGTTTGTCTGCAGCGAGCGTTTTGGTAGAAACTGCGCCTCCCATTCATTATAATGGTAAATGACCACAGACAAGTGCGCACACCATCTTTGGACCTTGAGTGTGACGCGATCGGGAGGGGTAGGCGGTCGCGCTGGGGGCGGCACGACACGGCTCGGGCCCGCCAGTGCCCCAACGGGGCCCTAGTTTTTTTTTGTTTTTTTAGCAATATCAGGCTGTTACTCCAAGAGTCCAATGGTAAAATTTTTGTGTTAGTGTCAAGGTTTGTGTTGGTGCACAATGGATCATATTCAGATTAGATTCAGTGATGTGGGTGCAAATGAATTGAAACGGTTGTTTTAATCAACAGTTTATTTTATTCTCTCAAAGAATAGCTCTCAAAGATTTTCACAATATTTAGGGAATTTACTTTAGTATATCTTGGCCGATTAATCACTATGTCTGATGAAAACAGGAGAGACACAAGATCTTCTTGCGCCAAATCAATGGACCTCGGGGAAGACATTAAGGAGTACCTACGTACCAGGGATAGATGCGAGCGCAAGATCGGGAAGGGCACAGCGCCTGGGTTACGCGACAAATTCAAGGCTGGGGAATTTGGGCACCCATCCGAGGAGCGCGGGCCGGGCAGAGAGCGCAGCCGCACACGTAGAGAATCATCATCCAACAGCTCCCGAAGCCCCTTGCCGGCCCAGGACCAGGGACTCAAGGGTCGCGAATACTTACTCACAACCCCCTATCAAGGGTTCCAAACATCCATTGGACACAATGGAGCGATCCCCGTTACCGTTGCAGCTCCTCGACAACAGTTGACCAATGACGAATTTGTCGCATCTTACCTCAGAGGCTCTTACGGTACAAAGAACCCAGAACTTTACGAGAGGTCAGTTATACCAGTCAATCCGGAGATATATAGGCCTGCTCCCTCTCGTGCACTGCCTAAACCCAAGCCGGCTCCCAAGGTGGCCCTCGACCTCTCAGTGCACAAGGTTCCCACCAAAACCCTGCCCCAGGGGAAATACAGCACAAGAGCCGCAGCTTCAAAGCAACCCCAGTGCCAGCAAAGAAACGACAGATCCAGATCACCCAGTCCGGGTCCGGCCCGGGCTCATAGACCCGGCTCAAGGGAGGTGGAGGAACTCACCCAGTTGATGAGAGGGATTGGGCGAGACTGTGAGCATATGGGTCAGATCCAGGGGGCTGTCAAAAATGCACTGGGTGATCTGAACAAAAACCACAACTCCTCATTCGACAGACTCCTCACGCGCATTGCCACCCTGGAGGAGGGTCAGGTAGAGATACGTCACACCCTGAAAGGGGTTGTTCACCAACTAGAGGTCATCACATCTCTCGAAGTCAGTGGAACCGGGGAGAAAAGGTATGTTCTACCAGGTGGGCGGGCTCCGAGGATGCCCAAGCGAGGCGGGCCAGAGGACATCGCCAGCCCAAGAGCCAACCCCATAACCTTTGGAAAATCATCTACCAGCGTCCACAGCGCTAAAATCTCGGTGCTTACAATGTTGACTCACCTACACAACACGGATCTAGGAGAGCTCGCCAACCGCATCTACTCTCTCAAGACGATTGAGGAAATAGAGGATTCATGCGACGCTGTCCTAAAAGATTCGGATTATCACCCAGACGAGCCCCCTGTCGTTGGGCTGTCGGCGTTGTTGGAGACTGTTGGGACGACAGGGAGAGCGGTTGAGTCTGAGGACGAGGAACCAACCAAGGTTGCATGGAAGTGCACGGAAACCGTATAGCAATGTTCAATCCTGAGTCTAATTTGTTGTTTAGTATAAATGCTAAGTTGATTCTTTAGTCACATTAACAGACCGATTTGCTGTTCCGTCAAATTTTGCGTCTTATGTGATATGGCCAAATTCTGGTTGGCCACTTTTTTTGTTCCGATTTCAGCAAATTTTCAAAAAAAAAAAAAAAAAAAACAGTTTATATTTAGCATCAGTACAGAACTAAAATGAAGGCTTGAGGGGAACTCAATTAATCCATCATTATGTATTGGGAGCATTGGAAGAACGTTTTACAGTAATTAAAAAGTTCCTTTATCAGTAGCACATTACTGTTTGGTTTAAGTAACTGAGTTACTTTTTTTTTACAAAGTAACTAGTAACTGTTACTATTTTTCAGTAACTAGCACAACATTGCTCAGATCAAATGTCAAATTTGTAACTTGCTGTGAACTTTGAACTGATCCAATGGACTTTAATTCAAATCAATAGTACTCAAATTCGGGTTATAAAGGGTGTACCAGAAACAAAATTTACACTTGGTCCATCTGGCCTTTGACAACTGCTTTGCTCTATCTTCCACTTTACCTGTATTTCACACATATTACATACCTTGCCTCATAAGTTTCATTTGAACACTCCATTTGGCTCCAGCAGTCAAACTTCCTGCTCTGCCCACAATGCCACAGAGCAGTGATTGTTGTAAACCCCTCATAAGTATCACTTGTCCTGTACCAAACTTGGTAAAAACAAATCACTCTAAAATCTTTGTGACAGCTGGCCCTTTTACCTCAGTTTCCTCCATCTGAGTCATATAAATTATGTTGTTGTTTCTGAAAGACTTCAACATAATCTACAGCTGTGATAGCCATGCATATAACACACTGAGTAATTGAGTCTACTATGCATATTTATGACCGAATAGACACACTGTCAGCCTCTGGATTTACAGCCGAGAGTTGTGGTTTTGGTGATGTCTCCACTCTGCAATCTATGGCTTTATAAAAAGGCTTTAGCGGGCCTCACAGTCAATCTGTCACTCCTATTAGGACGGGCTACATCAGCAGGCTGCTGCACGGTCATCAGATCATGTTTCTGTACACTCGGGCTCTGAACATTCAACGGCAATAAAGGGATCTCCATTACCCATACATACCACAATGAGATTCAAGCAGAGCAAAGGATATCAGTGAGGGCTTTATATAGTTTCTTTTTTTTATGTATTAAATGGAGAAGTGTAAACCAGCACTGGCTTTTCATGAGCTTCATTCATACAGACCTAAAAAGGAAGCCAGACTCCATGTTTGCCAGTGGATGTTCAAATAAGATAAAGATATAGAGGAAGATCCTCATCAATCTGGTAACTAGTGTAGCAATAGTCAATAAAAAGCCGTCACATTTAAGGTCGTGTTCACACCTAAAGGTCCGTTTCCTGATTCGAATCCAAGGCAAGACGATACATTTGTTTTGATTGTTTAACAGGTCCGGTTTGCGTTCACAAAGGACAAACTCAATCGCTCCAGAAAACGGAACCGGAAGTCACGTGACCGCAAATATCATTCGGTCATCGGTCATTAGTTTATGCGGGAAAACAAACCCCGCTCTGCTGTCTTCGCCTGTCATGGAGCATCGTAGGCTGATTTTGCTTTTGCTACTCATCTGGAGCACATATCAAAAGATGCTAGTCGATCGCGCGTATGAATGGCTCGTTAGCCAGCGAGCACAAACTGCGGCATTAATTAATACATTCCAGATTAGACATGCTGCAAACAACAGACGGATAAAGGCGAGATGGCGACAAGCATTAATGAGAGCCTTTCACGATGTGTTTTCTCTCTGGTGTCAATCGGGACAAGTGAGGTGAGCGGACAACATGTATTTCACAACCAGCATTACAAATAGCCTAGATGTGTGGTGCGTTTCCTGTGATTGGTGTGGATCACGTTCACGCCAGAAATTAACCGCTCCAGAGTTCACTTGATAGCGGTCCAAGCCCACCTCTTCAGGCGGACCAGAGTTCGTTTATTTGGTCCGCACCAGAGTTCGAGGTCAGCGTTCACACCCACCCAAACAAACCACACCAAGGAGATAAATGCCCCAGAGTTCAGTTCAACCGGACTAAACAAGGGTGGTGTTAACATGCCCTAAGTCAGGACATCTGAACAAAACTTTTTCCGGTCAGAAAATGATTCCAAGGTTGTAGTGCTCAAATCCAGCAGACTTACACTAATCCAATGCTGCTGTTGATCTGTGAAGGTAAAGGCAGGGAATTATACACAGGTAAAAGGTGTAATACAGAGAAATGAAAAACTATTTCTGTGACCACTGTGGGTGTATTTTATTTCTTTCACTTCTAACAGAAATGCAACTAACACACGCTCATACAGAAAAAAAGGCTGCATTGCTTTTTTATGATTATTCAACCATGCCTGCAGCAACACAGATACCTTCAGCTGATAAATGCGTCTTAGAGTTGATCAATGCATAAAACTAGAAAAGCACTCAGAGAGCGCAGACCTCCGCCAAGCAGCTCATGCCCCCCCTTATACTGTGATTCACACCAAAACTTTTACTGTTATGTGTCTTTTATTAACCTTTTTTTGTGTTTCAACTGGTATGTTCACTGTTCATAATGTCCCTAAAACAACAGAGCTCATATTAGATAAATAAATGCATGATTTATTATGCAATATTTGTAAGCGTACACTTCCTTGTATCTTCATTGGTTATCTTTCCATTTTCATTTTCTACCGCTTATTCCCATTCCTGGGGTCGAGGGGGGGCTGGAGCCTATCCCAGCATCTTCGGGCGAAGGCAGGGGACACCTCTGGGCAATTTGGAAGTGGCCAATTAACCTAACCCAACTTAGGTATGTTTTTGGGATGTGGGACGAAACCGGAGTACCCAGAGTAAACCAACGCAGACACAGGGAGAACATGCAAACTCCACACAGAAATGCCCTGACCCAGATTCGAACCCAGGGCCTTCTTGCTGTGAGGCGACAGTGCTAACCACTACACCACTGTGCCGCCCACTGGTTATCTTTCAGCATTGAAAATTCCAATGACACCCTTATTTTTGTGTGTTCTGGATCACAGTATCCGGAATTTTGTCTGGATCAGGATCAACCTTTGACACCTCATAAAACTCATCAAGATCCTTTTGTGTAATTTTTTACTAAAGACTCTGGCCATTTTTATAGAGTTATATGCAAAAATTCCAAAATTTTCCCTATCTCACAATGATAAAGAATCCATCCTGGATCCAGAAGGCGATCCGGATCAGCACCAAAATGTATTGGGATCGTCCTGGGGCTGAGACGCACCTCTGGTGAAAATTTCAGGTCAATCCGTCTGTAACTTTCTCCGTAAAGTTGTTCACAGCCAAACAAACAAAAAACAAACAAACAAACCAAAGCTACCGAAAACATAACCTCCTTGGCGGAGGTAACAAATGAGAGTGAGAACTGATGAACAGATGTGAAAATCCTTATAGTGTCAGTATATATGGTCCAACAAAGGGAGTGACAGTGTCTGTTTATGACCACCTGAGCCAAGATCACATTGGAAATATGAGCAGTTACACAAACAAGAACAGCATAACTCTGCATTTGTTCTAATGAGAGCTATTGTATGAGGACTTGTCATAAGGACACAGCCTTCACACAAGGAATAATAATAACTAACAGAAAAAAAGAGGACTTGAGCAAACACCAGTCTTACAGTAACTACATGTCAACATCGCAACCAGGGGGAAGAAAAATGTATATTCTGTGTAATAAATTTCTAAACTTTGTCCACAGCACCATGAAGATTGCTGGCGGAGGCGGGATTTATGACCTATACTGCACCCTGTCACCAGAGGGTGCTGTTCTCGCGATGGCTTCACCCAGCTATGAGGCAGACTCTGTCCATTCTATATACAGTCTATGAGGTGGACTCCCTGTGGCCTACCTGTTTAACCTACAACTCTGTCTGGGTAGCTCCTTTAGAGGGTGGACCAATGAATAGCAGTGGCTCTAAATCATCTGAATAAAGATATATGGAAACACAACACTGGATGATTAAGCCAAGCTCTTCAGAAGACTCTAATTACCACATCAATAAAACTTTGCTGATGCTAAAAGATAGTCAGTGTCTCATTTGGTTGGTCAATATTATAATGCAAAACTTACATAAGCTACCATGTTACCAGATCAGTCTCCTAAATTAGAAAAGCAGAGGCCAAAACCTGCAAGGAAAGGCAAGTTTGTGTACTCAGAGAAAAACCTTTCACATTTCAAAGATACATCTGTACCACTGAAAATAGACTTATATTAATGCAGCTTTAAATGAGTGAATTTTAACTTAAGTGACCTTCTTCATACAATGTGGATGACCAAATTCTCTGACAAAGATAGAAACACATATTCAACATACAGTGTTTGAAGAGCATGTTCAGATTTCTTTGGCAGCCTTTCCTCTATTTATTTTTCTCTTTAACACCGAGGAGTAACACTCTACACACATTTAAAACTTTATTTTTTAGCTACCGTATGATGGTGGTGATGAATGTGCATGAGCTGGAGGGCAAACAGAAAAGAAAGATTAAACACAACAGTTATTATTTTGAGACTTCAGGGGAGAAATAATGACCTTGGGATGAAATAAACGAGTAAAGGAAAACAACAAAAAAGCTTTCTTGACTTTATTTGCATTCTCATAAAGAAGATTGCTGGCAGATGTCTTATATTGTTGTTTTGAGGATAACGAGACGTGGATGCTGATATTTTGTTGCTTTAACTATTGTATAAAAGCATCTTTGCATCTTTTATTTCAGGTTCTTAACACTGCATTTCAATGAGTTTGTGCTGAAAATGATAATGACAGTAATACTGTTAACAACACACACATGCACACTTCATATCTAATAGGAAATGGTTCAGTAATAAAGTTTTATGATGAAACATGCATCATGCGGGAAACCTTGTTTAAATAGAGTAAGTCTCACACATTATTGCTGGTGTCTCTTGGCAG